CCTATTCATTTGGCATTGTTTTTGAATGCTTAAAACTAGTTAGTTCATTGACATGTGGACCATTCATGGCAGTGTAGAGCAGATCATTTGTTAGTGTTTTTTGGTGCCTGTTTCCCACTTATTTTTATCTTTATTTTAAGGAATGGATTTAGCTTCTACACAGTCTAACCCCCTTTTATAATGCTTAGGTTTAAGAAAAACCAATGCTGACTTTCTACCTGCAACCTCCATTGGCCACACCAGGCTGGGACACAGATCATCAGATCTGGCTCCGCCATCATTAGAGAGGCTCCCTCTTGTAATAGTTCTCTCTCAACACATAACTGGACAAAAGGCAGAAACTGAGAGATTTTTGAAACATTCAGTCTTAAATAGGATGTCTTCATCAAATTCCTCCTCTCAGAACTCAGGACTCAGGGAGCTATACTAAGAGGATGTGGGAAAAATTTAAGAGCCAGAGGGGATAGATGACACCAAGAAAAGAGTCTTCCAGACACAACAGGACTGACATGCATACAATCACATATAGACTGTAGTGGCATGCACAGGACCTGCACAGTTCAAGCCAAGCCAAATGGGTCCCCATTCTGAGAGGGGGAAGTGGACATGAGCTTCCATCCCTAACCAATAAGCTATCTCCAATCAACATCTACTTTCAGAGGAAAAATTTGTTTTCTCCAATGGAGTCTCACTGGGTGTACAAACCACACTTTAAGCCATGCTGCATGCCCAGGAGTAGTTGGCCAACACAAAATGCACTGGGTAGTATTTTTATAGACCTTTTGTCTTATATTTCTTTGTTTGGGCAGCATTTTTGTCCTACTGGTCTTTTGCTTATAAATTATGGTTTCTGATTTTGTGTGTTCATGTTTTTTTGGTGGGTGGGGATGTGCATGTGTGTTTGTTTTATTCTGTCTTTTGTTGTTGTTGTTTGTTTGCTTGACTGTTTGCTTTCTAAAGAGAAGGAGAAAGAAAGAGCATGGAGTTGCATGGATGGGGAGGTGGTAATGATCTGAAAGGAGTTGGGAGAAGGGAACCGTGATTAGAATATGTTGTATACAAATTTTTTTTTCAATAAAAAAGGAAAACATTCCAACACAAATCTTCCCTGATCAATCATTACCAATCACTTTTGACTGCTTCCTGGAATCAGCACCTTTCCTGTGAATCTCATGCTCTTCCCCATGAAGCTCATGGTTGGTGAAGAGGTTGGATATTTGTTTCTATTCAGTAGAAGATGGAATGAGAAAATAGAACAAACAAGACACCAGTGCAGCAGAGGAAGTAGGAAAAGGGGAATCTGGGGTCATTGGAATATCAATATCTGAGTGACAGAAGATGGAGGGCAGGCTGGTGAGATGACTCAGAGGGTAAAGATGCCTGTTGTGCAAGCCTGGAGGCCTGAACTCAAGATATGAAACCATATGAAGATGGAAGGAGAGAACGACTTCTACATATGTTCCACAGTACATGTGCACCTCCCTGCCAATGTAAAATTAAGAAGATATGTCAGATGAATGACAATTTGGTATCATTTAAGCCTAACATGCAAGAATAGACTATAGCCAGGAAGGAGATGCTAAGAGGGGGCAGACATCCAGATAGGTGATTTAGGTTGAAAAGTATCTAAGAAAACAAAGCCTCACGTTTTCCTCCTAAAAATTTAGTTCTTATTTTATTAAATAAGACACTTAATATTTTATGTTCAGAGATTATAATTGCATATTATTAATAGCTCATTCACAGTCTTGGGATCTCTGTAAATTTTTACTTAATATTTTTGTTCACAGAAAAGCCAAAGATTGGAATTACAATGAGGAAGCTCAATTTTTGAGAGAAATTTACATGCTCAGATAATGAAACACCTTCAAAAAACATGTATTTGACATTTTAGTATCAACAACTTCCACAAAACAAACAGGCAAGAAATAGGAAAAAAACTACTTTCATATATATATACATATATGTGTGTGTATGTGTATATGTGTGTATATATATGTGTATATATACATATGTGTGTATGTGTGTATATGTATATAAGCATACATGTGTATGTATGTATCAGGAGGGGAAAATGTGTTCATGATTTCTCCTGCTATGTGTCCCTATCCCTCAGCATTACACTTTCCACATTCTCATTTATTTGGATTTTGTTCCAGCCATGTTTTGATGATGGCAGTGTGGACA